AACCGTGCGTACAATATATATATATATATATATATATATTACTGTAGGCTATGTTTTATTTTCATTTTAGGTGTTTGTGTCGTTGTTTAGGCAGAGGGAGCTTTGACGTCATATGTTGGGCGTGGCTAATGACTAGAACCTTCTAGAATGTTGAGATACTATAAAACGCGAGTTAGGCTAAAGTATGCGATTATTGATTTGTGAGTCTATTACAGTGTATGATTGATTACTGAGTTAGTAAATTTGTTAGTTAGTGTTGGGTGTTACTCTCAGCCAATTAGTCAGTTTGTGAGAATTTAGTTTTGTTTCACAAAGAAATAAAGTGTCGTGCGTACATGAAACGTTATCAAGTAAGTGAATTTCTTGTATTAATGTCTGCTGTGTACTTAGGCCTATCAGTGAACTTAAATGGACTGGACTCTGCATTGTTTTTTTGACCGAATAATCTGAACCCGCCCAACAATGGAAACCGTTACAATAATATGTATACATAGTAAATAAACTATACTCTGTTATTTCTTTAATGTTATTTCTATTAACGGTATTGGTTATAATGCTTAATAAATATATATTTCATTATTCTTACTTTTTATTATAATATGTTTATTCTAAAGATTAGTTTTCATTATTAGTATATGGATTTAGGACTAGCTAAAATCTTCTAAGATGAACGAACTTCATGAGATATTATTGGGATTACGTCCGAAAATATCGCTAACAACCCAACTGATAATAATATGTATTTTCATCTTTTCTAAGTGAATATTCAATATTTTGTGAAGCTCTGATCTGTTTTTTTTTTGTTGTGTGTGTGTGTATATTCCTCATCATCAGTGTCTCTTTGTGTGATAGATGTCAGAAATATTATATGTGACTTATAAATGTTGAACGCACTATAAGATTTCAAAATCCAATTTTACATAAACTTGGTTCTTTAAATCCACGGCTTTTTTGTTACTGTAGCTACCATTCCGAAATGTGCAGGATGTGAGCAATCCATACTGGATCGTTTTATCCTGAAGGTCCTTGACAGACCCTGGCACGCCAAATGTCTCAAGTGCACTGAATGTCAGGCCCAGCTCACTAACAAATGCTTCTCCAGAAACGAGAAAGTCTTCTGTAAGGAAGACTTCTTTAAGTAAGTACATCACGGTTTTAAACATGTTGAAAATGATCCAGGTCATGAACTGAAATGTTACGTAGATTTTCTTCACTTTATGACCACAAACAGTTTACAAACATTTACGTTAATCATCGAATGGCTTGTACAACTCATCCAAAACTGTAATATTACCTGTGGTTTACCAATGGTTCTTTTAATTGTAAGAGTTGCATTTCGAAATTTCACAAAACGGTTTTACTGACATAATTTATTACCAAACAACCCTGTTTAATATCCTTTCAGGATTTCCCAGTAGAGGGCCTTTTCCTAAAATTGGAAAAATATAAAAAGATTGGTTTGAATTTCGCGCAAAGAT